AGATGAGTCAATAAAGGAGGGAACAGGGAGGGTTCTGGGATCCAGTTGCAGGCTTCCTTCTCACCGTGGTTCTGGTAAGTTCCATGTTTCCTTTCCACCGCTCGCTCCCTTTCCAGGTGGCATGGACCAGTCCTATCAGGGCATCTTTACCACCTGACTTCATGCTACCTCCTGCTGCTAGAGGAGCTGCCATCCCTCCTGACCTGAACCAAGTAACCCAGGCCCTGCTCTCTGTTTTCTTTAGATAGTGAAAGGCCTGAAATATATGCTCAATATGGAAATTGGCAGAACTACTTGCAAGAAAACCAAGCACCCCAGTCTGGACAACTGTGAATTCCAGACCAACCACACCTTAAAGCGGGTAAGGCAAAGGAGTCTCACCTCTTCAGTAAGGAAAACGCACACACGCACACACACATGTACACACAGGCACAGTCCACAGGCAGCAATACTGGAAACTCTACAGAGCTTTATGCGGGTGGCCTCAGTAAGGTGGGTGGCCTCTGTGACATGCAGCACAATTCTCATGTTCTTCTTTGTTTCAGACTCTCAGTTGCTACTCTGAAGTCTGGGTCATCCCCTGGCTCCAGAGGTTTGAGGTGCCCATTCTCCATTGTTACTAACTTCGGCCTTTCAGCAATACTACAGCTGCTGTCACTTCTAAAATAGTATCTCCCAGCAAGCAGAATGAGATACTTCCTGAGATACTTCCCCTATTGGACTAGGTCCTCCAATGGGAATGTTTTAAGTTCTTGACCCTTGAGGGAGCCCCTCCCACCCAGTAACCCAGCAGTTATATATCTTGACCTTTTATGGATGAATAAAATTACAAATAAATAAGAATAAAGAACTGACCACTCCACGTAATGGCTGTTGCTTTACCTGCTAAAAGGAGAATAAGGAAGGTGAATGTTGTGAGGGATTCCCCTCACTGAGTGGTCTGACCAGTCTAAGTTACCTCTATAAAGTGCCCCAGGCTTTCCTCACCATTAGCTGTTGGCTACAAGATACTGGAAACCAAAGCAGCCAGAAACAGGCCAGCCTGTGTCCACATCATGAATTGGCAGGGTAGGTAGCACACCACAGAGGGTGCTCACTCTCCAGCTGGGCTTTTTCTGATTGTGGGCTGTCACCCAAATGTCTCTGCTCCCTTTGAGGCTCAGCACATGTACAACTGTGATTAGACAAGTAGGGTGGGATAGAGTGCTGGGACCACACCCCACAGCCCCACCCCAGAAGAGGGAGCACCATGCCTGTGTGGTCAGCCCTACCCAGAAGAAGCACCCCCACACAGACCCACCCAAGACGGAGCACTACCTACCCATAGATCCTCAGGAGGGAACACCTACACAAACGCAGCCCTACCCAAAGGGAGCACCCTTCACACAGACCCACCTAGGAGGAGCACCCTCCCTACAAACCCACCCAGAAGAGGGGGCACACACACAGCCCCATCCAGGAAGGGGAGTACCCCCATGAACCCTCTCAGGACATGGAGCAACCCACACAGAAACCACCCAGAGTAGGAGCAACACACAGACTCAATGTACTCAGGAGAGGGAGCTCCCCAACACAGAACCACCTAGGTAAAGGAGCACGCGCCTGCGCGCGCGCGCACACACACACACACACAGAGCTCCACCCAGGAGAGGGAAGACAAGGTCAGGGTGGAATGCTGCACTGGGGGTATGGGAGAAGGAGGAGACCGCTGTGGCCTGGAAGGCCCCAGGTCCTTGTAAAATTCAGATCTTGCATTTGACTGGAAGCAGTGCAAGGCTAGACCACAAAGAAGCAGCCCAGCAGCTGCTGAAGGCTAGAGAGCCCCGAGGCTTCACTCAGAGCTAAGAGAGGACCCTGGACAAGCTGCTCCAGTGAGCCCCATGCAAAAGCAGAGGCTCCTCACTTTGGACTTCTTCCTTTCCAGGCCCTCTTCAGACTATGGATTAGTACAAAATATGTTCTTGCCTTTAAAAAATATGGACTTGATAATTCATAGGAAAGAGAAAATCTGCATTAAGTATGGCAATTTAACATGCTATCGTAAACTTGATCAATGTGAATAACCAAAATGAATGACCCTCACTCAGCCTCCTTCAGTGATGAGAGTAACTATAATTTCAAACCCTCAATTTTTTTGCTGCCTTGACTCACTTCCTTCTGGTCATTTAATTCAGGGACAGTGGTAGCAACTATGTCACAAGACATTTAATCTACCCTATGATTCTGAAGGCCCCTGAAGGCAATCTTTTCATAAAGATGGACGAGTTCACCCAGGCTGTTGACTCCATAAGTCAACAAGACAGCAAGAACACCAACACCAGAAGTGTGAGCCAGACTGGCCTGGGGGCCTTCATGATTTATGCAAGATGGTGTAGCAAATGAAGGGAAGACCACAGACTCTGAGCTCCCAGGCAGTCCTCATTTACATTTAAATATGGACCAGAGTCCATCCAGGCCAGGCCTGTCCTTAAAATAACATAGGCCTCCAGACGCTCCCCCACCCCAACACTGCCCTTATATTCAGCATCGGAAATGAGAATGCATACGCAGCTGTGGGGGAGAGCAGCTTCACAACACCCTTGCTTGGAACTGCATATGAAATCTCCCCCATACCACTTTGGCTAACCTTGGCTAACCTTCTCTCCTAGGAGAGAAGAAAACCCTTCAAATCCCAATCTCAAAACTCTCAGGTTTGAATATGAACCTGTATTGGCCAAAACATCATTTAGGGCAATGTATTTATCCCCCTCCTATAAGGTAAACAGAGAGAAGTCTTAGAACTAAGGCAAAACAGCCACCACCGAAGCCCATGGTTATGTGCTCCCAACCTCAGGTTTCTGCAAATCTTCCCTCCATGGGGACTTCTGGGATTGAATTCCAGGTGGAAAGGGGCTCTACTTTATAAGACATTCACCATCTATCATCCCCAGTCCCAATCTGTTTTACATATTGTACCTCACAGAAGTAAATGCTTGTCTTTAAATAAGTCTTAAACTCACCATGGTGATACCAGAAGGAAAGGGGCTGGGTAGTGAGCCACTGTGAGGCCACCTTGATTTTTAGAAGCCAGCAGCTGGCACACCTCTGACTCTCACAGAGATGCATCCACTAACAAAACCACTGTAAACATTTTGCTCCAGCTGCCTGGAGAGCAGGCCCTGCAGGCACTATGTACACTCGACTGTGCCGGCTCCACTTTTTTCATCATCATAACTCTGTTAAAGAGATTGTTCTCTTCAGATTCACACACCAAAGCCCCACCTGAGAAAGAACTACCAGAGCCCTGAGGTGGATTCAAACAGGTAAAACCAAACACCCATGTGAAGATGGTGTACCTTACTACAAGTACGAGATGTCAAACAGTGATGACCTGACATCCTGTATTGCCAACCCAATTCCACCTGTCTTTGAAAACTCATTAGCTTTACTCTGACTCAGAGGGAAGTTGTTTCATCACCTAATGTTGTCACTGAGAAAATGTAAAGTATTCATGATTCTAAGACATACCAAAACTATGACCAAAAAGAAGCACTTTCTCAAACTTGAACAAACCACCAAAATCATTGAAATTCTAAGACGGTCCTGGCCTTAGTGTTTTAGAGCAGTGGTCTCCAACCTTTTTGGAATGGTTGCAGAAATGTCATAAAACCAGGCCAGCGAGAAACCAAGTATCACTCGGAGAGTTGGAGAATTCAGGTTTATTACACTGGTGGTCCCAGAGGAACTAGGGAAGTTCCTTCCTCTGAAGGTCTGGGCCCTGAGCTCAGGGGTAACCTTACTTTTATAGGGCTTATCTGCAATACATCTGTTATCTAGACAGAACAAGCAAAGGGGATACATCTGTTATCTAGACGGAACAAGCAAAGGGGAGGGCGAGTCTTCAGTTGATTTCGAGATTACTCTGCCCTTCGACCTATGCAGCAAGCATGTCTATAGAATCAAAACAAAAAGCTAATTACAAGGTTAGCCATTTGAGTGGAAAATTCCTCCTCAGAACCAGGGACTGGTACTCCTATGAGAATCTAATGCCTGATGATCTGAGGTAGAGCTGAAGTGGTGATGCTAGTCCACTGCTAACCTCCTGCTGTGTGGCCCAGTAACAGGCCACGAACCAGTACCAATCCACAGCCCACGGGTTGCGGACACCTGTTCTTAAGCTTTTCCCTAGCAATGCTCCTCCATACCTTTTCACCAGCTACACACAGACTCAGGGATTCAGCTATACTGCCCCCTGCTCCAGATGTCCACCCAGCCTAGCCCCTCTTGAGGTTGCAGATGGGCCCAGGCTATCCACTGTCCACGAGAACCACCTGTGAAACAAAACCACACTGATGCCCAGCCTACCCCAGAGACATGGTCATCCCAAAAAACTCTGACGTGCAGCCAAGATCTGACCCTTGGGCTGGGCGATAGCCACCACAGAGCCAGGTCCTTGCAACATCACCCTGCCTCTTCCTTATCTCCCAGATTCCCCAGAAGATTCCACAGTCACAGCACAGGTCCTGGCTCAGCTGTATGTGGGCTATGACACTGGGCAAGTCATTTCTCCACCAGCCTCTGCTCCTATTTGTAAACCAGGCCACATCTCCTTGCATCAGTAAAAGGTCAGAGTATGTGAAAACACTTTCAAAACCATTGACCACTCTGCAAGTGTGTGTTGATAAAAAAAAATCTCAAAATGGGACCTCTGTCCTATAAAAGTCAATAACTGAATCCTGATACAGTTTTTATAATATATAATAAAGAAGCACACAGTGAATGAACCACTTGATTTAATTCTAAAAACATGTTAGTAACTCACATTAAAGCAAATCCTGTTTACAACAAAAGCATATCACATTTTTAAACCTAATAAGACTATATATGCATCTCACCATAGCAAATTATCAAATAAAACACCCTTCTGTGCCCCTTCCCTAAGGTAGGCATTATCCCATTTTACAATAATGACACTGAGGCTGGCAAGACAGAACCAATAGCTAAAACAATGCCCTGGACAGCTCATCCACTGCTCTACCCATCGAACCCTGAGGCCTGCTGAAAGTGCATGGTGCCTCCTAAGTCCTAGATAGTACTGTACTTAGAAAGGATTTTTAAAGAGAAAATGGCTTTACTCAAGTTATCTTCCCAATAGCAGATGTTATGCTACCCTCTAAATGCAAAGTCAAACCCAGGTGAGGGCTGTCCCACAGGGGCCTGCACAACCGCAGGGTCACATCATACTTCCAAGAATGAGTTCAGGTGGGATGGCCTGTGTCCATGGTGCCTTCTGGACCAGGTGTGGTATCCAGTGTGGCAACTCCTGGTCCAACTGTGATCAGAGCTGTGTCGGGGCCACTAAACAGACTGAAGGTTGAGTCTGCAGAGAAAGGGGGCCCTGAAAGAGCCCACATATAGGTGCCCATCATGCTCATGCACTTCGCTGACGTAGGTGGCCACCTGCCCATCGGGATTGTGCAGGCTTCTCCAGAAGGCCCCACTGTCGCTGAGTTTTAGGACGAGTCTATAACGTGGCACAAACTTCATTACCATCTCCAGACTAAACAGCTGGAAGGGAAGCACAGTAAGAGGGGAGTTTACCTTCTAAGAGAAGGATGTAATTAGATCTGATCTGTTAAAAACAAGACAACAGGCACACAGTAAAGTCACCGATGATAACCCATGTCACCAAACCAAGATTTAACTCAGTTACACTTTGGACTCTCCCAGAAATGGAATATTAACCAGTCAATAAGGAACCACCTTATCAGTTAGGCTATCTGCCTGCCAGAACATTGCTGTCCCTTAAAGGAAAGTGACCTTACAATAACCAACCTGCTTTTTACCTAGTATGACCTCCTTGTTCCCATTCCCTTCTGCCTACAAAAGTCTTTCATTTTTGTACAGCTCCTTGGAGCTCCTTTCTACCTGTAAGACTACATTATACCCAGTTCATGAATCAATGGGAAAAAAAGCCAATAAGCTTTTTAAAATTTACTCAGTTGAATTTTATTTTTTAACAGACTTCGAAGTCCCTCACCATCTAGTAAGGGCCCAGCTCCTCCAGTGACAGGAAGGCCACATAGGACAGAACCAGGTTAAACCAGCTACACTCCCAGAATCAGGCATGTCTCACAGCAGGTCACCCCTACCCCACACCCTGTGTAGTCAGGCCAAAGAGCTTCCTGTCTCCTGCATGCAAAGACGCAAGGCTAACCCAGAACAAGGACAGCAGCTGTCCAACAGCCCTCATGTGATGTCCATCAGACCCGCAATGTAGGCACACCTCTGGATGACCCGGCTCAACATAAAGAAGCAGAAATCACATCTGAGGAAGATACGACATGAAGCCAAGGCCTAGCGTGACATTAACCGCAGAATGCTGGGATAAAACTAGCACAGACCAACCAGAATAAATCCCAAACCCTCTGATTAGATTTAAAATATTTCAAATGTGCGAGATCTGAGAGAGGTTCATGTTAAAATTAAAAAAAACAAACCTGGGTATGTTAAAAGAACATGTCTTTGCCCTAAGAGACATGACAATGGCTCTCGGTTCTCCTTGCACCCAGCATAGAAATCAAACATGCCCATGCTGAACAGGCACCCTCTAGGAGCCTAGCCCCTAGTTCAGCTGGACCAAGAGACACAAACAGCTACTGAAGGATTTTAAGGAGTAAAAAAACCAAACAGATGGTGAGACATGTAATTTCTGGCAGAGCAAAAGGACACCTGGTAGGAAATGATGACAAAGGATACCACTACATGAGACCAATGAATGAAAATTAATAGGCAGATTTCTACCTTTTAAAATAAGGGGAAATAGCCAATTACAAATGTCCAACAAATAATGTCTCCTAGTCACTGAAAATGTTCAAACTGACATACAAGTTGACTGTGTTTTAGAAGGTTCTATAGAGATTGATCAAAGTTGCATTATAACTCAAAATATTCCATAAGGCTTCTCACAACCCATGAAATGCCATCTCCCTGCAGCCACAGGATCTTCCCCTCTCTGTTCTTTCTGTCTTATCACTAAGAGATCTCATCCCCTCTTATTAGTTTAACTAGCCACTTTCCCAGAAAGCTCTCAAATCTCCACCTCTATTTCTCATGCCCAGTGCTAAATTCCTCACTGCCCAAGACCTACCTCTACCTAGACTTTCTAACAGATCTTCAAACTCAACAGACTCCCCAGCTCAGGAGAAAGGGCCCCTGACACCAGCTGCTGACACCAGGAACTCGGCCCTCACACTTAATTCCTCCAACAACATGAGCAGGGTACCATGGGGTCTTGTCATCTGCTCCACATGTACTGCCCCCACCCTGGGCTCTGCCCAACACCTCTCCTGGCCACCTCCACACAGGTTCCCCAAGCCAGTGGAGCCCTCCTACAGGCTGTTCTCCACACAGTAGCTGCAGTTATCTTTTTAAAACATTCTTTGTAGTACATTACTCCCCTCCCGAACGATTCAGTCAAGCAGCAGCTTGTAGGGCTGAGCAGCGTACGTCTGTGCAGAGGGTGAGGGAACTACAGCGGCCCAGACCAGAGAGTCAGTCTGAGCAGGGTGAGGGGGAGCCCATGCTGGGAGAAGGGAAAAGGCAGTGGCACGAAGGATGGCATCAGAGTTCAAGCAGGCTGAGACAGTGTCCCTGCAGTGGGGCAGCCTGGCACAGGCTGTCAGAGCCCAGACAAAATGAGAAGGATTTTTACCTGGGAGACAGCTTATGTAAGTATCAGAACCCTTGATGGAAAAGGCTGGCCCCTGCCCATGGCCAGGAGGAGAGAGAAGGCCCAGAGTGGGTGCTAGAGCCCTAGCAGGGGCCATGTGATAAGGCACAGTGACTACAGATTGGTGATCTTTGGAGAAACTGATCAAATAGATATGAATAATAATGAGATTCAGGTTTTTTGATATTAAAGAAGGGAAGTACAAATACAGAAAGGAAGAAAACTAGAATAAATCCTGTGGTATTGAACTGGAAGTAGAGATAGGAGCATTACTTATGGTTTCAATGTAAATAAATATATGATAAATAAATGTAGGTATAAACATGTGTGTACATTGTATACATGCATGCATATATGACTACAATCCCCACTCCGTCCACTGAGAGGACCTGGTTTGAGCAATGACACCCCAAAGCAATGTGCACACTTAGCACCACATCTCCTCTGAAGGAACCAGGGCTCCTTGGGGAAGTGGTTGATTCCAGAGCTGAGGTGGGGATAGTACAAGATAAGCCTGAACATGTGGCATCAGGAAGTGAGGAACCACTCCAAGATTGATAGGGACATGTCCAAAGGTCAAGGAGCCACACTGAAGGGGCTCCCACTGGCCACAGTTGGACAATTTGAGCATTAAAATAAACAATAATAGCAATGAATAATATAACCCATTGAATAAAATAGGCAATCATGAGACCATATTGATATTTACTTAGTTATAAAGTACCTCGCACAAAATATTCACAATT